CATTATTACTTTAGAAATAATTTTCTAATGAAAATGTGCATGGGTTTATATTTTTATGTTTTGGTTTGAATGGATTTGGGACCAACATCTGGAGGCTTTTTGGCCCCTTGGGATAAGAGCTGTGTCTGTGTGCATTTGTGCAATAAATGAGAATGTTCTTCAGTTGTCTCCCCAGGGCAGGGTGACATAACAAAAGCATGTGCACTAGGAATGGCCAGGCTTCTGCATCTATAGAGACACCCCTACAAAATTCTTGGTGTTTTTTGCTAATCAGAAAAAGATCACTGGGAACACTGTGGATCTGAAACCTTTTAAGATGAATTCCAAATTCTCTCTCTTTCTCTCTCTCTCTCTCTCTCTCTCTCTCTCTCTCTCTCTCTCTCTCTCTCTGTCTCTCTCTTTGTCACAATGCAGCAGAACTGGTGGGACTGTAGAATAGTCCCTTCTTCTAAGGACATCCTCTGCCTCTTCTTTTTTATGTGAACTACTAGATGAGAACTAAGAATAACAAATATAGTTACTTACATAAACATCACGTGTGTATGTGTGCTTTGTTATTAGAGACAGTAGAATCTTAAAAAGAACATCTGCAGGTCTGTGACTTTGACAATGTTACTTGGACAGAACTAAATTTTCTGTAAGTCTTGGTGTTTTTAACTGTTCTAGGAAAACCAGCAATATTATTGCTCGCAGCGTCTAGTTGAAAGCCACTAAGCATTGCTGATTTGCACTTGATAAATAAAGCGAACACAATCACAAAGGTCCCTGGATAACTCTAATGATAAAAGAGTGTAGACATTCTTGTTAAAAGGTGAAAATCAAATACCAGTGGGTGGCACTGGCATATCTTACTGCTTGAAAGGGCAAAATCTGCTTCTTTTCTCAAACTTGGCTGAGGCAGCTCTCTTGACCTCATCAGAGCTAACAAAATGCCAAACATTTGAGTCTTCCTTTTGTTTGAGTCCTTTTCATCTAAATTTTGACTAAGAAAAAAAAAAGTGTAAACCTATTTTCCACTTTTATTGCTCTATTTTCTTGTAACTTTTAATTTGATTTCATAGCAAAAATAACTTGCTTAAAGAGACCATTCTTGATGACCCTGTATACCTCAACTAAACGCCCCCTTCATGATTAAGTTCTAGTTTTCCATCTCAACTACTTGTATTTACTTTACAGTGTGTATTGTAATATTTTTTTTAATTTATTGAAAATCTTTTTCTTAATGTAGAAGCCAAGTTTTCCTTCATCTGTATACATTTCCTAGAAGAATACTAAATATAAAATGTTCAATACCCAATTTTTAAAATGTTGGATGAGCTAATGATTTGATTCATTGCTTTGTTTATTCAAGAATATTGTCATTTAACTGACTGATTAAATATATATAATTTTTTTCCTGGCTGATGGAAAATTTAGGCTGAAAGGGTTATGTGACTTGCACATTCTTCTAGCTAGTAAGGAAATGAGGTAGAATTTCAGTGTAACTTAGGACTTCTTATTTTACTTCATTATTCTAAAAGCATTTTGGTTACTATTTCAAATGGTCTGAATGTGAAAGAGTATGAAATTAACATATTTTGACCTCTTCCTAGTACTTGCTTACATTATCTTGTTTATAACTTCCAAAAATTCTGTGAGGGAGATATTATTATAGTCTTTTGTGGCTATGACTTTCAATCACATCTGAGCAGCACGTTAGCATCCAAAGTTTTAAATCACACATACACTGCATGACTGTATGTCCTCTTTCCCATTTTATGAGCTCTAGGTTTGAGACTCATTATTTCTATCTTCTTAAGTTGAAAAGTAACCTTAGTGCATAATTAGGTTTAAATTTTCTTTGTACATGAACAAAAGAAAGTAGTAGAGGTCAAAATTATCCAATATTATTTTGATGAATTTTAAATTTAACTCTTGAATCACCAACATCAATGACTGTCTACTTTTTATCCTTATCATAAAACTACTTTTCCTTGCCACTGAAATTAGTTTCACAGTGATCCAACACTTTCACCATGTGTACAACTCTCATGCTGTTCTTGTAGAATCCTATATAGCTAAGCAACATTGTCATAATTCTTAATCATGCAGAATAAATTCTGCCTTAGAAGCTTAAATGCTCAAGAATTCAGTTTCTCTGGATAGGATACAAAACAATCAATCTTTGCCTGATTATTAATATTCCTTTATTTTTTCAATATTCATTTATTGAATATTATAGATTTTGAGTGTATACTAAGTAATGTAAATAGAATGATTGATAAGCTCAATACTAGTCAACCCCTTAATTAGAATTAATGTTATAGAAAAAAGGTAGACGTAGATTTAAGTAAAAATTTTTGAGCACTGCAGAGATGTAAACTGAGAACATTATAAGGCAAGAAAAACCCATTCTGGGGAATTAAGACAACTTAATGAGCATATCCTTGTCTATATCTCGGGGAGAGACAGAAATGGGAGGAAGTGAAAGAAGCAGAAACAATTCGGGCTTGTGTAGTTGCCCAGAGATAGTGTTGCCGTTTACTCTGGTTGGGTAACAGCGGAAAACCATTGGTTTGCGGTATAAAATGGAGAAGATGACAAAGAGAAATGCGTATGTATTAAGTGGACCTCAGAATCTTCATGATGTAAAGCGAAGAGAAGGAGTCTGTGGCATATAGAAGTGGAGGTAGTCAAAGTAATACGATGGTCAGTGATGAACTCATCTAGAGCAGGATACAGATGGTCTTTCATATATAATATTTCAACTTAAGGGGTTTTTACCTTATGATGGTGCAAAAGCAGTACACCTTCTATAGAAATCACACTTTGAATTTTGACCTTTTTCAGCTTTAAAAGTATGATACTCTGACAATGGATGATACTCTGGCAACTCTGGATGACACAGTGACTTGCAGGTTTCAGGCTTCTACCGGATCACAAAGTATGCTGTCTACCAGGCTTTCTTGGATACAAGCATTCAAGAAGTTACATGAGCTATTCAACACTATATTACAAAGTAGCATTTATATTAGATAATTTTGCCCACCTATGGGCTAATATAGTGTCCTGAGTACATGTAAAGCAGCCTAGGCTAAGTCATAATGCAGCCTAGGCTAAGTGGTGTGTATTAAATGCATTTTTGAATTATTTATGAAGGATTTATGGAGACATAATCCCATCGTACACCAAAAAGCCTCTGAACAGAGTAACTCAAGGAGAAGTCTTAAGACTGCTCCTTGAGAAACGCTTGTTCCCAAAACCCAAAGAGAGCAGTGGATCCAGGAAAAGAGATTGAAAGAAGAGACCGGGGGAAGGGCAGATAAACCTGACTGAGTAGTATGATAAAAGTAGGAAAAATGTTTTCAAGAGGATGGAAATTTTCTACTGTATTAAATTCTGATAGGTCAAGAAAGTTAGATCTGAAAATTGGTGGTGTGGTTCTCTAGTGATCCTAAGGTCTGGTGTGACTTAAAATGGGAGAAAGCCAATTGAATGTGTGGAAAGGAATAGAAGCAAGGAGGTATAGAACACAGAATGCAGCTGAAGTGATGGACTTTAGATGTAAGGAAAAACATTTGCTTTTTCATAAAAGGAAAAGTTGAAGCTATCTAAGATACCTTTCCAGTAATCTTCAAATATGATAGAAAAAAGGGAAGTTCCTGTCTGATGGCTTCTATTTTCTGTGTAAAAGGATGTGTGACATTTGGACAGTAATGGTATATTAAAAGTTAGCTATTGATGACTAATAAAGCATCTCAATTCTTAGAAGATTACAATGGCAACCATTTATTATTTCTGAAGAGTGTACAGATGGAAGGCAATGCAACTGATCTGGAAGAGATTTCACTGATTTTATCTAGATCTGCTCAGATTTCTGTCTTCAACTTCCGGGTCAGTTATGGGCTGATTGATCTGAGATCAGACGAGATCGAGCGCGTTCTGGGTGGTATGGCTGTAGCAGGCTGGTTGGTCTGGACTGATTTCAGCTGAGATAATTAACTTTCCCTGATGTTATCTCTCATTTTATGATATGTTGGTCCAGACTTGTTCTAATAGCTATTACAATAATCAAGAAGAGGAAATCATTTTGCAAAGAATTTTGTTTTATCCCTAAATTCATATATTGAATCTCGGGGGCTAGGGATTTAGCTCAGCAGCACAGCGTCTGCCTGGCAAGCGCAAAGTCGTGATTTCGATTCCCGGTACCTGAGGAGAGGGGGAACCATATAATGAAGCTCAATCTACCAATGTACCTATATTTGGAGATAGAGCTTTAACTGAAGCACTATAATTAAATGAGGTGATAAGGATAGAGACTGATCAGACAGGATTAGTGTCTTTACAAGAAAAGTTCTAAGAGAGTTCTCACTGCAACGTTTGCAAGGTGAGGACAACATCTTTGAGACAGGAGGAGGTCAGTTTCTTTCTACGTTGTTTGTTTTCCTAGGTTTTGTTAGTTGCTTAGAAAACTATAGTGGTTCAGTGGAAGTAATATCATTAGTTAGAGAGGATTTAAAATCACAGCATGAACCTGACCCTGCTGGAATTCTGATCTTGAACCTCCAGTCTCTTTAACTGCGAGAAAATAAACATCTTGTTTAGACTACAAAGTTTATGTTATTTTGTACTGGAAGCCAGATATATGAATATAGAAACAACAAAAACAAAAATCTTCCTACATGTTCTTTTTCGAGTCTCGTGTTACATCAGGTAAGCTACAGCCTCAGGGTTGAAAGAGAATCACATATCCACATTTAAGTTTCAAGTGGGGAAGAACTGTAAAGTTAGAGAGAAAACATTTATTATAGCCAGTTATGCAACAAATCCAACAGATGGGGGACAGTGGGTTGAGAATTTGCTCTTGTGGCCTTTCTTCATCAGATATTCATGGAAAGAGATCTCTTTAGTTTTTTCTCTTTCATACTCCCCCTTTTTAATAAATCTACCAATCCTGATGGATTAGAACTCCACCATTATGAGCTCATTTAGCCTTAATTGCCACATAATGATTCCTTCTTCTTGTATAGTCCCCACAGTGGGGTTTAGGTTTCAACCTATAAAGCAAAGGGGACACAATGCAGTACATATCAGCAGGGTAAGCAAAGGGAAGATGTTTCTATGTTTATTTTCCTAGGGCTTTGTTAGTTGCTGATAAAACTATAGTAGTTCAATGGAAGTAATGTCATTAGTTAGACAGGGTTTAAAATCACAACAGCGAACAGATGGTAGCTGGAGAGTAAAAAGGGCTGGACAAGGAGATGTAATGTAACAAAACAGAGGTGTCTCTGGATTGAAGGTACATTTTCTCACCTAGCGAGGGTAGAGCAAGCAAACTGAAATGAATTAAGGCTGTTAGAATTAATTACTTGGGACATAGAATTGTTTGGTGGGTGATAAGTTTCATAGTCTATCATGAATATGGATTATGGAGGAGGCTGAGAACATATCTTTAGAGTAGAAGTATTGGAACTCCAAGGCAAGTAGGCTGGAAGGGTTATTTATGTGTCGTGTTGTCATCCAATCCCATGGTAGGCATGGGAGGGGGAAAGCCCATGGGAAGTAGTTTTGTCTTTTATAAATAAAGGGATTGATTCAGAGAAATCTGTATGACATGGACTAAAACATTCATTTCCCTCCTCTTAATGGATCTGGGTAATTACTATTGAGATACAGATTCTGGGTCTTAATGTTATTTGTTTATGTGAAAAAATCTTATACAATTTTCAAGGTACAGCTACCCTAGTAAGACTAGTAAAATGCAGCAAATCACACAACTAGGCCAGATCAGTTAGTTGTGTGTGGTCCTATTTGTTCTGTGAGTGCTTTTATAAGCACTTAGAGGAATGAGATAGATCAGCTCTTACATCCAAATTTAAAATTTGAAAGCAGCATTCAGGTGATCAGCCAAAAAATGACAAGACTTAGGTTACATGAATTGCTTTCATGGCTTTTCCCATGGCCTTTTAACTGACAGATGGGCCTTGAGTTTTTCTGTTCTACCCTACTGCTTCACTAAGTCATTCTTCTATTCTCATATCCCTGAGACTTAGATGGGCTCAGGCGTCTGTGTTATTTTTTCATGTGTTTATATACCATCTTATTATAGTCTTCTTAAAGAAGGTGAATAATCTTCAGAAAGACATCTTCAGGTTTCTCCACAAGCTGAAAATACTAATAGTGAGGCAGCCAAAAATAACAAAATTCCCTAGACAGATCATACCCTGAACTCTACCTTTCTGTACATATTTTTCAATGGATATCATAGGAACTACTTTTAAAGACATTGTTTCTAATTTTCAAGACATTCTGCCTCTTTTTATTTTATCCTCTAGAGTTGTACTTAAGAGAAACTTGGAGTGAGGTGGTAAGAGCTAGGTAACACTCCTCCTCTATCTTGGCTTTTCTGCTACATTCCAGGAAGGAACTGCTTTATTTTCCCCCCATTAATAACAGACTAGGACTTCTGTAATAGGAATTAATTAACTCACCATTTCATACCTGTAGCCCCTACTGGATTATGAACCTGTTGATGATATTAATCTTAATCTTTTTTTGACACAGATTCTCACTACATACTCCAGGACAGCCTTGAAATCATTTTGTAGCCCAGGCTGACCTTGAACTCATGGTGATCCTCCTGCGTCAGCCTCTAGAGTACCTATATGCACCATCAGGTCTGGCTTTCTTAATCCTAATCTTGAAATCACCCACACTTAGTAGCTAAATAAGTAATGTACTAAATATTATTTTATACTAAAAACAAGTTAGATTTTTCACTATTAGTCATTTATTTAATTCCCTCAAAGGAATAATGGTAGAAACTGTTTAGCTTAATATGGTGCAGATGAAATAATCTGAGGCAGAAGAATTCACTACGAAGCTATGAGTAAAGAAAAAATTTAGCTCCCCTGATAAAATGAAGGGTCCCACATACTGCGGACTGAAGAGAGAGATTAAATGATGGGAAAGAGCCACCACTGGCAAATAGAAGTCAGATCATAGATTTTGCAGCTTTAGAATTGCAGTTTCTAATGAAGCACAATAAAAAACCACTTAGGGTTTCATAAAATCATTACTAAATAAATGGTGAGTGAAAATCTGAAGCAAACATTAATAATGTTTATAGTATTCCTAGAGGTGTATCACAAGAGATTTCAGTATCTGCAGATTAAAATCAGTTTTTAAAAACATGAGTCTACTCTAGCCCTTTAACATAAAACATGTTTTTATTTGAGGATTGTTTTGCATTATGCTATGGTAGAGATTGAGGAAATTGGTAGAAAAAAGAGTTTAAGATTGCTTTGAAGGTGGTTCTACATTCTGTGTTTCTCTGCTGTCCTGCTGTCCAAGAGAAAAGCCCATTCCTAGGGAAGAAATATGGAAGGAGACTCTGATGGGATCTTGCAGGGCAACCTCTGGGGATAAGGAATAGGATGAAAATGAATTGCACAGGATTGCAAGAGAGTAAGGATTTGTATCTGATTGTCTTATCACATTTGTGCTCCGGGTACCTTTCCAACTTCATGATTTTCCTGACTTAGGAATTAAGAGTAAACTTGATTTGTATCTACTTGTAGCTAGACATATGCTCACTAATGGAAGATATTTAACCAAAACAAATTTCAGTAGTTTATTATTGTAAGTGTTCAGTCAAGTTGTTTCATCTTCTCTAGATATAATTGTCCACGTCTACAAAATGTGGTGGCCCTGAAGGTTGTTATGAATCCCTTAGGTGAAATGCTTAGCCTACCACCATTGTAATATTTAGAAAAGTATGATTATTATGCTGGTCATTTATTGGAATTAGATTAAGTTTCAACTCCAGTTTACATCTTTGCTTTCCTTGAAACTTGATCTTTCCAATGAGCGCAGGTCATAATGAAAATTTTAAGTCTTCAAGAGAAGCAATAAAAAGAAATTCTGTTTGATTGGAGGATTATGGTTGCTCATACATATTGCACTGAGATATAACATGATCAGTTTTGGTAGGTATGTGTTGCAGTAGTCTTCTAGTTAATCTGTATGAATCAGACAATGGACACATTGATAAGAAGCTTAGAGACAAATTACAAACATTGCAATAATTTTCTTATGTATTAAAAGAACAGCTATGTACTCCAAATTTATTTAAATTCTCCATAGAAGTTTACTTTAAAGTACCTAAACATGGAAATTTAAAGTACGAAATGCCTTATATGAGCCTGTACCAAAATCAGTCAACATTTTAAACATTTTATGAATAAATATGAATATTTGGAACTATATTCATGCATTCTATACAATGCAGCCAATGAAAGAATTTTTGAAGAGAAATTAAGTATTATACAGTAAAGTACACACAAATTCTTAATTATCTGTCACAGTGCTTTGGCATCAACAAGAAAGCAATGAGGCTGAAATAAGTTAGCTAAGAGTGCAGAGTTAGAGAATGGTAGAGACTTGACTGTGTTACCATGGCAACCTGGTTTGAGATTTACAAGGTGTGTTTTAATGTAGAATTCTGTCTTGGGAATGAAGACTAGCAAGTAATTACATAACTATATTGCTGAGACAGCATACGAGACATTTTAAGAATCTCCCCCAATTCTAAACCATCATCCACTGACTGTGAATCAGAATAATATTAGACTGCACTGAGCAGTAATTTCTATTTCAAGCTATCTTTTGTGGAAGGCTGGATCCTTGCCTTTCACCTAGATCTTCAACATATCTTTCTGCTATTACTTAATTGCTTAAAATTTGACTATAGAGTTTCAAAATCTATGATCTAAAGAGACTGAAATAGGTGATGTTTTAGGGCTGTAATTAGGGAGGTTCATGAGACAGATGTTAATTTTGCATTGCAGCAATGGTTAGAAGAAACCTTTTTTGTTCTTCCTAAAGTGAATTTCTCCCTCACTTATTTGGCATGTGTTTGGATAATTTGGACCAAGTGTGGGATACCTGTTCGAGTTTGCTTATGTTAAAAATTGGGGCACTATTTGGAAAAAGTGCAAGCATTAGTGTATGGTAAGGAAATGGTGCTGTCTCTCAGGAAGGGCTAGAATTAGAATTATGATATTACCAACAACTTTGCAGCTCCCACTCCCATTTTACCATCCTCATTGTTATAATCGCCACTTTTACATTTCTCTGTATATTTGCTTCTCCCCAACTCAGGATATTTCTTCCTCTACATGTATATGGAGCCCAATGTGTCTTCCTCACCCACAGATCTATATCACACCCCAGTTCAGGTACCAGTCTACAGAAATCATTTCTGAATGTTTCATCATGTCAGATGAAATAAAGGGAGCTTAGTGTTCAACTTTCCTTGCTGCCAGCATTCTTGGGTTCCAGCAACCAGTGGTAGATTCCAGCATCTCCTCAGAACCCACTGCACGACTGTGACAACATAAACACTCACTTCTACTTAAATATCGTTGCTGTCCTGTTTGAGGTCACTGTTAATTGACTCCAAATAGAATAACCCAAAGTCAATGAACTCTTCTACCACTGTCTGCAGACGGTGGCAGAAATGCTTGAAAGGATACTGAAGTGTGAATATGATCTCTCCAGCCACAGTAGAGGTCATAGCCCCCTAAAGAATGGGTATTAAATGATCAACTCCTAAAATCATCTAGATCATGTTGAAGTCATGTGGTTATATCTCAGTAAAATTTTTCTGTAAGGTTCCCACAGAAATGACAGTTTTAATTTCTGAGGTTAATTAATTTCCTGTGGGACTGAAGACAGTGATTCAGTGGAGAAAACCTTGAAAATCATGTGTCTGTCCTTTATGGTGGGAGAAGATAACTCTCCTTTCTCTCAGCCAGGCTTCATCTGAGTACCTTTCATTATGATGTATTAAACCAGAGCCATACGGCAAGTGGGTATGAACATGTACCCATACAACTCACCCATGTCGTAAGGAGATGATCAAACTGATCTGGAATGCACTATTTAAATTGGTTGATTAAGTACTACAGTGAATTTCTATCTTATGCATTATGTTAGGCAGATCAGTTTGCATTGTCACTTCATGTTCCACTTAGAAATTGAAAATATTGTAATCCAGATCCAAGCCACAGGCTGTTTTGAAATAGACATTCACAGAAATGTTTTGGCTTTTCTTCAGTGTCAATGGGTCTGCACTGTGTTTTCGTATTGAAACTTACCAGATGGGCGCTAGAGCCTGCACAAATTCCATTAATATTCCTAAAACCTGTCTATATGTACATATCTATAGGTAGATAGACAAATCGATGATAGATAATAAAAATATAGATGATAGATAGATAATAAACACATAGATAGATATAGAAAGATAGATAAATTTTGTTCTATCTCTTTGAAAAATCCCACTTAATATTGTGAAATGAAAGGAAAATGCTCAAAAGTAAAGAGCAACTGGGGTGAGGGAAAAGAAAAGAAAGAAGGGGAAAATATGTATGTATGTATGTATGTATGTATGTACAGGCTAGCTAACATAGTTGTACTACTGACTTCTATCACTTTCCTGAAGGGAACAGTTAAGGACTATTTATTTGATCAATCTTGCATGTCTCTATTTGTTTTCCTAAGAAACCACTTTGAAGATATCAATAGGTAATACAACAACCATTGCTAATTTTGTACCACTTTGTCTGTAACTCTGTATTGCTTGTATTGTTCTTATGCTATTTTGTAAATGGATGTGTTTGTTAATATGTTTTCCTTCTTTTACTTTTAAAATAAATTAAAAAAAAGAACCCCACTTAATATTGATAGATAGAATAATGGAAAGGTAGGTAGGTGGATATTAAAATGGAGAGAGAGAAAAACAGAGGCCTTACCATAATTTTGTGAGGGAGTTAACTTCTGTATTTCTTACTGACTTACTAACTTTTTGTTTCCTTTCACAATCACTATGAACACTGAACTTTCTTCCATGCCTTGATTTATATCTAAGGACAGTGCAACATGGCAAGATTCATTATAGGCAGGAGAAATGCTACTTTTCCTACAGAAAGTGGGAAAAAACAATTTTGGAGTATGAGTTGGTTTATTGAAAATTGGCAGACTTTTTCAACAAGATAATCTTTAGAAAACTGTACAAACAGAAGCTGAGAATCTAGAAATTGATTTTCTTACATGCATCCATGCATGTGCAAAGCCTGAAAGGCCCATGTGTCTATATATCCTTAGGGAGTTACATGCTTAATTTGAAATCTGACCATTGGACACTATGAATGTTTCAAGTAATATCATCTGTAGAACACATGTCTTGGAAGCACATGGAATATTTACTTATTTTATGTATGTATATATAGCCCAGCTCCAAAGAAATGAATGAAGACAGTTAATTCTCCTAACCTAGTTCTCTTCAGCAATATGCTGTGAAGCAGTTATGCATTTGAATTTGGCTTCCGTGGTAAAAATAAAGAGTTCCAAATTTCTATTAAGATTTTTGAAGGATATGGAGTCTTGTTTTTCTTGCTATAAAGAATACTTTCTCCTTTATCATTCATACCAATGAGCTCTTAGCAGGTAACCTGATCAGCTGTTCGCTCTATCTGCCTCTTTCTGTTCACAAAGGGAATTTGCAGAGAATACAGATGATTTCACGGTGTCTTTTGAGGTTGCATGGTGAAGAGATTTAGGGACTGTGCTAAAGCAGAAATCAAGTTGGGCTCAACTTCTCCTTATTTTGAAG